GACTGGTCTCTGGGGTTATTTTCTGTCGACCCTAGGCGCGGAATTCTTCATGGCGTCCTGGTTTATCAAACATCGCGCCATCACCAGCTGTGGAAAATGAACTGCGACTTCTGTCCGCACTTACAGCTGCGTCAAGTCAGCCAAACACACGGAGAACGACCGGAATTGGTGTTGATTTAGCGTCACGAAGATTAAAATGTAAATAGTGCAGTTTTTCGGTAATAAATGTGGCGTCCTAGGTTAGAGGGATAGCGTACGATGATTTCGTATTATCTTAAGCATCTTTCGAAAACATAAGAGAAAAAATACGATACTGCCTCAGTATATAGTTAGCCGATACAATGGATGCTTAGTTTAACGTGGGTTTTGAGGCGTTTTGAAAGGAACAGTTGACAGCTCTTTCTCTTACTTGCGAGACTAGCTTGATACTTTGTCTTGCCTTGGGCTCTATGCAGCCTGCAGCTTGCCGGTGATCTGTGAGCGAGGAGAAAGACGGATCGAGTCTAGTAAAAACTTTTGGTCAAACCGACGCCATATTTACTCAGCCTTTCAAGGCTCGAGGGTCAACAAAACAAAAACAAAAGCAAAAACATATTTCACACTCAAGCACACAACTGACATTATGTTGTAGTACCTTATGTCCACCAGTTAACTAGCGTGGTTTAGGTTGTGATTATAAAGTAGATACATCGAAATGTTTGAGTTGGAGACTGTTTGGTTAAAGCCATCAGGGGGTCAGAGGTAGGGCTTTATAAGGGTCTCTCATTTCAAAATAGGGCAATGTTTTACATTCACATTATTAGAAAAGGGGGGATGAAGGTAATTGAAGTAACCGAGAAATTATGAAGGATGAAAACTTACAAAAAATCTATTATGAACTAACCGGTATAGAAAATCTAGTTTTCTAGTATTGCAAGATTTAATCCAGATGTTGTTGTTGGGGAAAAGGTGAAATATATTGATTTGGCTATACATTTTCTTGTCAACACACTACCAAATCTACAAAGTTTATGTGAATGGGTGTTAAGGTTTAAAGAGTAAGTTAATTTGATTTTGGAGTATTACATGTAACTGATTGCCATAGCAATCGCAACACGAACTATTAGTTTAATATGAAGTTTTTGCTATGTTTAATATTATATAATTGACAAGGTAAACAAGATACACAACCCCACATGGCCGCAATGGTAAAGATAGAAGTTAACAGAAATCCACACCCAATTTTTTATGTGTTGTGATGTTAACGTGCATTGTGTTTTGTCCCAGATGGCTTGCTCTCCATTCAGTGTGGGAGGCACATTTCATGTGGGAATCTGCACCGTCAAACTGGTGTCATCCGGGCAATCTTCCCTGGCTTGGATCCTTGACTTTAGTACCCGATCGCTGTATAAAGTACGTGGTGGAAAGGATCTCTGGTGAGGTGTGTTGTTTTGCATAGAGTACCTGGGTTGGATCTAACGAAGCACACATGGACATAGTCACCCGTTCGGCTTTGATGTGAATAGTTAGAGGATCGCTGCTAATGTGAACAAGCGAACGTCGTCAATCTTCGAGCATTTTTGTCGAGGCAGGCCACTCAACACGCACACTGACTAATTCAATGGAATGAGATAGTCTGTTGGGGGAGATGATAAGCGCACGCTGCTGAAGATAATGAGCCTTAAAAGGGGCAGATAATTTTTACAGGTCTAGGGGGTCAGTCCCGCGAATATACATCAAACCCGTCACGCTCCCGCGACCCCGCTAAAACTTTTTAGTGCACCCGTGAAGACAGTTGTTTATTCATATCTGGAGCCAACTTGGCTCCTTCTTACATTTAAGGGATGGATGCGGAAAGCCACCGCTGTATCGCGGAAGTGTAATCATATATCTAGAGCATATACCAAGTGCAGCTAGCTCTTAATTATACTCATTTTCAGCAAGGTTACAAAACGGACACTTTAATCAAAAACCACCACCCTGTGCTTTTTCCCTGAGACATATATTTCCACTCCGTCCTTTGCTTCTTTCCTATTCTGTTAGGTCATAATGTTTTCAAAGTTATAAATTGTTTCATAAAGCCACTTCTAGTGTTTTATTTTGCGCTAGAATAGACCATCTAACTGGTGTGAAGATATAGCATGGATAAAATAGAAACACGGTGCAGCCTATGCCCTCACAACCTCATGATCCACATGTGTTAGCGAGCATTCTCTAAAAGCTTTCAATATAAATAGGGGATCAAATCAGTGTAGAACACAAAACGGTTTGTATGAGACAGCAAACACAGGCGGTATTGTGCAGAAGATCGCATAAGGTCGACGAGATTCTCTAAAGGAGGTTCATGGTAACGAGTAACAGCAGAAAAGAGGCACGAGTTCTCTTTTTCTGCAATGTTTTTTTTTACACCGAAGTAAGTGCACAATTCAGACAAAGCAGCCTGCATGTAAATTTACAAGGTGCATTGATTGGTAGGCGAGAATGCGTGTATTAAAGGTTCAGTACTCGATGTATGAATCGATGTCGATAGAGAATCATCGTGACACCAAGAACTGCCATAGTCATATATAGGAACTGGTAGGCACAGCACACTGTAGGGACAAGAGGAAACACTGATCTTGAGTGGATGAGAACTTTAAGGAGCAAGACTACTGACCAAGGTTGGAAGGATTACTTTGAAAATGTAATCTGATTCAATTACTAATTACATGTTAAAAATGTAGTCAGTAACCTAGACCAAGTATGACAAAATTATATGTAACTTGTTCATGTTATTCTGTTACTTTTGGATTACCGCAATAACAAATACGCAAATAAAAACAAGATAAAATAAATGTCAAAAATAAGTATTGATGTAAATGTATCCTATAAGACAACAGAACAAGAAAAGGGAAATGGGAAAAATGGAAAAAGTAAAGATTTTAATCATCAAAAATGTGTCCTCTGCTCAGTGTATTTTTAAAGAAAAACTGATGTATATTTAATTTAATTTTAATCCTGCTAAACAATCCCCATTTGCTAAATGTAACTAATCTGATTATGTTTTTTTTTTCTGTAACTGTAATGGATTAGCTACTAAAAAAAAGCCTGATTATGTAACTCAGTTACATGTAATACGTTACTCCCCAGTATGTTTATTTTATATATATATATATATACATGGATTGTAACCCCTTAGGAGGGCAAAAACAGCCCTATGATGATATTAATAATATCATAGTAATAATCTAAAATAATACTAAACTAACATCCCAGCATGGTTAAATATACCAATACAATAGTAATTAAATAATCCCACTGTATATAACAGCAGGAAAATGTCTATGCTTTAACCACCCAACACAAAGAATTAGACCTTCAACAGCTTTACCCTGCCACCGGGCCACATTTCATGTTATTGTGTGACAGAAAAAGAAAGTTATTTATTTGGGCATAGAGCATGATCGGTGGTTGTAATATTAGATGTCCATTAAGCAACTTTAAAGAAAACTTAGCCAGACACTTGTAGTAAAAATCTTAAATAATTTTCTTAAAGTGCCATTTTTAACAGTATTGCACGGGTCCATTGGTGTTATCTACACTCAAGCCTACCACAAGCA